ACAGAAGGAACAGTATTGGTGACAAAGGAGACCCCTGACGATTGGCACATTGCATCTGATGTGCTGCTGTGGTGGTCCCCTCCTGCCGGACCTGAGCTCTGCGTTCAGCGAGGAAACTGTCAATGAGCTGCAGCAGCTCGCGTGGCCACCCCTGCTGCGCCATCCGCTGAAGCAGCCGCCTGCGCAGCACAGCATCAAAGGCACCCTGCACATCCATTGTGACCATGGACACTTCTTTGTTTTGTGCGAAGGCTGCCTCCACCTCATGAGTGAAAGCAGCTACCAGGTCCATTGCAGATCGTCTGGGCAGCGCCCCCCCATGCTGTGGGCTGACTATGCCGTGAATGAGTGCCGTGTACGCCAGTCGCCTTGCAATGATGCGTTCCAGCCCTTTGGAGATTACTGAAAGCAGGGCAATGGGCCTCCAGGAGCGGACTGAGCTTCTATCTCTCTTACCCACCTTGGGTATCATTGCCACCTCTGCCAGTTTTCAGGCTCGTGGGAAGTGGCAGAGCCGGAGGCAGCAGTTGTATAGCTGCTGTATAAAGAGGGACACATGCTGTCAGCATGCTTTGAGCATCTGCACTGTGATTCCATCCGTGCCTGGGGAGGTGCTCTGTACCCCAATGGTGTTGCGCTCCATCTCCTCCATCTCAATCCGGGGGTTCCAGGGCAGGTTCCCCATGCCGCTCCAGTGCTCATCATCCAGTGGGTCATACTCCAGATCATCAGCTGAGTTGTATCGCTTCAGAATTGCTTGTTGAAGTGCCTCAGCTTTGGCGGCTGTCTCTTCTATGACCTGATCCCCAATCACCAGAGGGGGTACTCTGAGGTTGGGTTCCAGCTTATGCCATGCCACCACCCGGTACAGGTCTCTACCATCTCTGGCCTCATTGATCACCTGCCTCCAGTATGCACGCTTGGCCTTGCGCACTGCATCCTTGAACTGGTGCTTCGCGGCCTCTGTCTGGTGAGTGGTGAGCTCTCGGTGTGCTCTTCGGCAGTCTGCTGTCCACCAGGGGGCTGTGGTCCGCCCTTGTTGAGCTGGCTTACTGACTGCCTGAGCTGCAGCCAAAATAGTGGGGTTAAATGTATGTACGGTATAATTAAACACTAAAAAAGTTATCGTGAGGCTTGGTTAACATACATAGTAACATGGGTTATAACGCCACCAAAACCCCCCCCCCCCGTATAACCACTAGTTATAGAAGTAATGTGAAGTACACATAAAAGATATTTAGAAAGTAGCAATCTTTATTATTCAAAGCTAATCACTGATCTCTATCTACAGATATCAGTGAGCATTATATAGACAATGTTGCCACCACGCTACATTCATCATAATTAATTCCAGCGTGTTCCATGCCTTTCTATCGCCATATATCTATTCCATAATATAGATATCTCCGTTGCGTCTATTGTAATATATTTAATGAAGCTGTCTGGCTTATGAACTGTAGATCGTAGTAAAACCACATTATTATCTTTCCATGCAAGACAGCGTTATTGCCTTTAAGAAATAATATAC